TGGCAGACGCGGAGAGACGTGTGGGCGAAGCTCTGGAAGAAGTACGCAACGAAGCCGCCGGCAAAGAGGTGCTGGAGATGGAACAGGCCGAGTGGGAACGTCGAGTCAACGAGATGGAAACTGTTCTGCGGTCCGCCCGCTCCGAGTTAGTGGAGGGGGAGCGTGAGCGTGATCGTCTGTCTCGAAAGGCCGAAGAGGCCGAAAAAAGCAAGGAGAATTTAGAAGGCAAAGTTGTCGAGCTTGAAAGCCAGCTTTCTGCTGCACGCGCTGCGACTGCGTCTAGCACTAGTCAAGCTAGCTCATCTCACCAGTCTTCTCACTCGGCTGAAGACACTGCGCGAGAAGTCCAGGATGCCGTTGAAAAGGTCGCTCGCGAGCTTCATGTACTCTATAAGGGCAAACACGAAACCAAGGTTGCGGCCTTGAAAAAGAGCTACGAGTCTCGCTGGGAGAAGCGTCTGCGTGAGGCAGAGAAGAAGCTCGCTGCTTCGCGCGAGGAAAACGAGCATCTGCGTGCTGAATGTGATGCTGCGCAGTCTGATTCAATGGCCGCGGCTAACATCAGTGTCGTCGCTCGCGAGAATGACGAGTACGAGGCCGAAAAGCGTGTCATGGAGGCCCAGATCAAGGGTCTGCAGCGAGAAATAGTTGCTCTGAAGGACGACACCGAGCGAATCCGTGCAAGTCTGGAGTCTGAACGCGCCGAGAAGGGCGAGCTTGTTGCTGCTGTTGACGAGTGGCTAGCCATGCAGCAGGCCCCCGCCGTATCTCAGCCTCGAGACCGGGAGTCCTCTGTGGCATCTTCTGTGCACACTGATCACGTTGACCAGCCAACTCAGCCATCTCGCGAAGTCACCCCCGATGACTTCCGTCGTAGTGTCAGTCGTTCTGTGTCTGGAAGCATCCGTCTCCCTGCCACTACGGAAAAGAGAATCCCTAGATTCGGTGCTCCCGGCGGTCATTCTCGTGGTAATAGCGGTGGCAGATCTGGCATTGCAATGCCTACTCCCGGCCGAGGCGGGATCATGAGTTCAATTGAGAGGATGGGCCGTGGTGGTGTTTAGATGTTTTATGGATTTGACTTGGATTCCCCTTTGTCATTTTTCTTTTGTTTCTTTTCCTCATGAGTCGTTCCCATCTTGATTCCCCGGCAGCAGATGTGATTTGCGTTTTACCTAAATTTGGTTTATGACGTTTATGTTTACTTCTATTTTTCGGCGTCTGTGAAGGTTGGTCCAGGCAGGGGTTCGAATTGAATCACTGAACAATGATATGAAATGATATAACGATTCCACCAATCTATTGCCATTGTATTTTTTTTCGAGGGACCATAGACAGTGAGGAAGTGGTTGTAGTGTCGCCATGTCATTGGGGAACATTAGAGGGATCTTGGTCGCCAAGTCAGCAGTCTCTATACAAGTGCCCTATGCTCATTCATTCTAACGCCGAGAGATGAAAGATAATGGGGCCAGCGGCTGGCTACACATAGGCTATGAGGCCGAGCAAACGAGCACCTGCAGAGAGCAAACATGCACGCCCAATAACGTCCTATATTGTGACAGACCACCCCTCCTCCCCTCCCTCCATCCCTCTCTCTCCCCTGCATTCCGTCATCATTATGTATCCTCTTAGCATCTCCATTACTAGCTCAAATTTCACTCAAGCAGCGACCTTCAGCGCAGGACTTCATCGCTTCATCGCTGACGGTTCGTTGGCTATCGCCAGCGCAGAGCAGTTCTGGGATCACTGGTCGACAGATACCCTGCAGTGGCTCACCCGTCCTGGTAACACCTAGCCTGTCTGTTTAGTATAATCTCACTGACCAGTTGCAGATATCTTCGCGGCCATTACAGCGTGGTGGATCACTTTCACCCTCTTCATGGGGCTCCTCATGTTTCTTGGACTTGGACCGCGGGGAATTATTGCAGGTCTGTTCTGCCACTTTCTTTGTGAGGCTATTGTTGCGTTTCAGCTCGTGCTAACCCCTGTCTGTAGGGTCTCTGGCGGCTGCGTTTCAGTCGTTCATGTATGGTGGATTTACACCGGCGGGCGGCATTTTCGCGACTTTAACCAGTATGGCGATGTTGGGTACACTCATGCCTCTGGGGGTGCTTGTCGGTTCTGTTCTTGCAACGGGTGTTGCAGTTGTGGTGTGGAAAGTGGTATCCTAGTCCTAGGAAGACTCTAAGATATCACCAATTGGTGACCCGGACTTACTCCAGTTCAATATGTCGGAAGTAATGGAATACCGGAATTTACAAGTCACGGCCACGGAATCCTTTCCACTGCGCCAAAAAAAAAGGAAGAAAACGAAAAATATATTTTCCCCGGAAACGGCGATGTCTCACGGGGTGACCTCATTAAATTCCCCGATCTTGAAAGTCCCCTCTAGTCACGCGGGAAATATACAAATATGAAGTGTTATTGCTCAGATGTGTCCAGCCATAGCGAATATGATTCATTGGAGTTTCCTATTCCCCCCGCATTTGGAGGGGCAAGTACGCCATGACCCTTCCATGAGTGGGATGAAAAAGGATCTAAGCTGACATACTTTTTAGCTTGTGGCTGAGAACTCGGCTTTCCCCCCGGACTTGCAAAACGTGGGGTGAAATCATGCCGGACTGCCGTCTTGGTCTTTCCCTCTGTTGGCTACTGGTTTATCGAATGCTTGGCAATTTGGCTGGATACGATATATTGTCCTCGATCTGAGTTATTTAACCTGTCAATCATTATTGACGGTGACATGTCCGAGAGGTACATGCGTGCTCCACAATCCTGCAGCCATGATTCTATTGAGTTGTACGGAGTATTTTGGTCAAGTTTCGTGTGCAGATGTAATATAAGAGGTTTCATTCCGCTTTTCCGGAATTGAATATTCGAATTGTCGGCATTGGGCCGAGTCTAGATGCGAGCCATTTAGTCCGCCTTTAAGCGCTGGATTAGATTTAGATGGATACTAGATCTGTTAGAGGGTTTGGAAGATATTTGGAAGAATTAAATGGCCTTGCTACCTTCCAAGGTTGGAATCGAACGGTTCCGATTCGGATGGCAGAGTCGGCAATGTATCGAAGCATCAGCTTCTGACTGGAGTCTCAAGGCTGGAAAATTATTTTGGTCTACCCCAGGATCTCTGGGAACGGAATATGCCGGGCAGAAGCAGATAGAATCGAGGGAGGACCCGGTGATGAAGATAAAAGAAATTATAGAAAATAAAGAAAATAAAAAAGACAAAATCCAGCATTGACCTTTGCCATGTTCGTGATTGGCGTCCCCACTCGACCTCGTGAGAGACAGAATTCTCCTTTTCTCTATTGGACTTTGCATTTCCAGTTTGAGGCTTTTAGCGGAGTATGTCGTCATTGGCCATATTTTGAAATGGCAAAAAGTAAAGAACGGAGTACTCCGTACATAATGTACATATGTTTTAGTAACTATGTAACTACTTGCACCTTGAGAATGTTACGTATTCTTCCGGAAATCGGCACTTTTAGTCCACGTGAGGGTTAACTCGGCAGGCCGGTTGAAACACGGTGCGGGATATAAATTTACTTTGGCCCGTTCAGGGGTACTCCACGATTCCGGTTCATCGTTTCTTTCCGGGATTAGATGTGGATTTTGTGGGTAGTACAATACAATATGTACAGTCAAATCTGAGTATAATCTGCCTTGCACAACTATACAATGTATCCGTGGCACAGTGTATAAAGTATAACATATACTGTACATCTTGTACGGAGTACAAAGTACAATCATTTAATTGCCTCACAGCTTTGGAAGAATAACGACGTTCAACTGTGGAAGGTCTGGACTCGAACATTAATAATAACATTACAGAGCTGCGTCAAAATGGAGCCTTTAGGCCGTGCTATTACGTAGGTACAACATATGTACAGCAGGGTTACAATGTTACCTGTAAGGAATCCATGATTGGAATTTTATATAGTTTCGTTTTAGACATAAATAATAGACCAACCCTGCAGTGATCTATATTGTACGGAGTATGGAGTATAGCATTGTGTATAGTCCAGAATATGGATGTGCATGTGTTGACAACATTCGATCGAAAATTCATGAGTGCCGATCATATTACTCATCGTTCCAGACGTTCAGACATGCGCCTCAAAGGGGCCAAAATCCCTCCACATAGGCTCCGCTTGGCGGAGACTGGAGAACTCTCCAGTATTGGCTGAAAAGTCTGGGACAGTCGGGGGAATATGGGAAAAGCCTGAAAATTCCCCTTTTTCCACGTTGACCCGCAATATAGGATCTTCACGGCGTTTTATTTTATTTCATTTTTGTTAGTCGGTGTTTCTCGGAGGATGGAGGCCCACCTTGCAAGGGAATCAAGAAGAGCAAGAATAAAAGGGAATGAAGATTTAATATGCAACTAATCCCACATTTATAAGATATTGGCATGAGTACATAGCCGACTTAGCTATACAATGAAGATTAGTTAGTTAGGTATAGCCGACTTATGTAGAGAAAGGTGTTTAAAGAGAATGATATCATAGACCGATAGTCTTTCACATGGAGTCCAAAGAGACGTAACGTGACCGGGCCGAGGGATGGTACAGACCAAACAAAAGCCAAACAAAGGCCGCGATGGCGTCGAAGGTACCCCAGTTTGACGGGTCTTAGCCCTGCCCAGGTGGGTTAGGGGCATATTACCTAATTGGGTAATTCCTGTAATACCTGGGGGAAACAGTAATTTATTCCCAGCGGATCTATTCCCCTCAAACCTTGGCTGTTTGCGGGTTCAACCATGGTAAGAGAAACTATGGGAACCTGGGGCATATTTAAACCTTGCGGGATATTCAATTAAATAAAAAAAGAATCCCTCTCTCTATTTCTGGTTTTGTCTTCCTTTTCCTTTCGTCTCTGGTTATCCCATATCACATGTCAACTCATCGTGACATTCCCTTTTCAGTTCTTTATCACATGCTCGGTGTCTCTATATAACTCGAATGTCCCCCATTCGCCCCCGAACGCAATAACACAACATGACTGATACCGAATCTGGGAAACGAAAGGCCTCCACGGCCGGACTCTCCGGTCATAACCGTCCCGTGAAGAGACGTGCCTCAAAAGCCTGCTGCTGCTGCCGTGCCCGTAAAGTGCGCTGTGATGTGGTCGAGAATGGCTCTCCATGCACAAATTGCCGTTTAGATCAGGTTGAGTGCGTGGTTACGGAGAGTAAACGCAGAAAGTTCGTGGAATTGAAATTAATTTAGCTGTAAAACTTCATTGACATGTGATTTAGGAAATCTCGCGTTGAGATAGAGAACCACTCCGAATCTCCGGAGGCTTCAGAGGAGACTCCTTTCCACCGACTCAGTGATTTTTCAGGACTGGCCGATTTCGCGCCGACGTCTCCCTCGCAGGCCTCGGTCGATCTTGACCAGGGTCAACATATGCCTCACCTGCTATGTTCGTCAATTCCCTTGGAACTCCCAAGAAATCGATTTGGCTGACAAGCAAAAACGAAAAAAACAGATCAAAATCAAGCTCAACGCATTGGCTCCGATGGCCACTATCGACGCCGCATGGCCCCGAACCCAGCAGTTCCCGCCTCTATGCCATTAGCTAATGTGACCTCGCAAATCCAACAACTATTAGACCCCAATTTTGGCAACACGCGATCCGCTAGTGGGTTCCTCCCGGATTACATCCGAGGACTCCCAGCACGACTCCAGAAAGAGGATATTGACTACTTGGCCGTCAAGGGTGCCTTGACCATCCCGGACGTGACTCTCCGGAACGAACTATTGAAGAGCTATATCCACTATGTTCACACCTATATGCCCTTGCTCGACTTGGAGGAGTTCTTGCAGAATATCGTCCAGAACGATGGAATCCACCGCATCAGTCTGCTGCTCTTCCAGGCTGTCATGTTCGCCGGTGTGGCCTTCATTGATATGAAGCACCTGCAGGCCGCCGGCTACCAGACCCGCAAGGTCGCCCGGAAGGTATTTTTCCAGCGTGCCCGTCTCCTGTACGATTTCGACTACGAGGTGGACCGCATCTCGCTCGTGCAGTCGCTTCTGCTCATGACATACTGGTACGAGACTCCCGATGACCAAAAAGACACCTGGCATTGGATGGGTGTCAGCCTATCTTTGGCCCACACAATTGGCCTACATCGGGATCCCGGAAACTCGCGGATGGATATGCGTCGCCAACGCATGTGGAAGCGGATCTGGTGGAGCACCTACACCCGTGACCGACTGATCGCCCTGGGCATGCGACGGCCCATGCGTGTCAAGGATGACGATTGTGATGTGCCCATGTTGAGTCTCGACGACTTCGAATTCCACCCTTTCTCCCCCGAGATCGTGGCTATGGTTGGCAACTCGGAGATTCTCCAGAATGTCAGCCACCAGCGCGAGCTCGCGTTGATGTTCATCGAGAAGGCCAAGCTCTGTCTCTGCGTCAGCCATGTATTATCTGCCCAGTACTCGGTCCTCAGCCATAAGTTTGGTGGCACCATGGAGACCACGATGATGCTCGTCCCGAAGAAATCCACTGCGGAGACCTTTGAGGTACGAAGTTGTGACCAGGAATTGGAGGACTGGCTGGCCAACCTCCCTGTCGAGACCCAATATACAGCCTCTAGTGGATCGAAGCTATCTGAAGCAGACGAAGTGCTTCACTCCCACCGTGCCTTGTTGAAAATGGTCTATCTCACCACATCTAGCGCTCTGCACCGCCCACAAGTCCTCCCCGCCATCCCCTACCCATCCACAGACGCCGAACTCCAAGACATGTCCCGAAACAAGGTGCGATTCGCCGCAGTCGAGATCACCGCCATCGCTCAGGACCTGCATTGCCTCGACCTGACCCGGTACTACCCCACCACCGGTGTCACAGTCCTCCTACCAGCAGTCATCATCCATCTCCTCGACATCAAGTCCACTGACCCAAGCATCCGCATGACAAGCCTGCAACGCTTCTATCAATGCATGCGCATCCTCCAGCGCCTGCGTGAGATCTACGCCTCCGCGGACTTCGCCACCTCCTTCCTCGAAGCCGCAATCCGCAAAGCAGGCATCCAGCTCACCGTCTCCCCCCAAGACGTCCAGTCTTCTGCTCCATCAAATACGCGCGATCAACCTACCTCATCCTCAGACCCCTTGCAATCCACCGCCACCATCCCCTCCCGCCTACACACCCTGACGCCCCCGCCGGATTCCCTCGCTCAGAAGATCCCGGACCTTACATACCCTAAACTCTCCGGTCCTTCCGCGGGCGGACAGTCTACCGGAGACCTTTTCGCTTCCACGCCGCCGCATTCCGACGGAAGCGAGAACGGCAGCACCAATAACCTCAATCCGAATGCCAACCACAACAAGGACCGTGACGCCTTTACTATGCCCTCTGAAATGAGTCTCACCGAACTCATGGATCTGGCGAATGATGCCGAGGTTACCCAGAATGACTTCGATGCCCTCATTAACTTTGACGATCCGGGCAATACTGATTTCTTTGCTGATGACAATGCCCAACAAAACGGTGGCCCGGCCCAGGAGAAGGGTTTTGACTTCGAGGTCGATACCGTGAACATGATGGGCTTTGATACTGGTACTAAGACCGTTGATTTCGCCCACCTGGCGGACAACAACAGGTCCGAGCATGAGCCTGTGAGTCTTTCAGACTGAATACCATAATTTGAGAGGCAACTCGGGTTTGGATACAGTCGATCTCTGGCTTGCAAATATGATGAACGGCTTCTCGTGTGCCCCGGGTATATTCTACCCATTGGAAGGCTGCACAGGGGAATGGCCCGGCACTAAAATTTATGCTGCATTATGTACAGTTCCTTTTCATTTTGTTATACACAGTATATATTTATAATGATGATGATTATGAGTGCGGATCATTCGTTTGCCCTTGAGTCTCCATAAAAATAGGATCCCAGAAATGGGTGGGTAGAGAGATATCTAGGAACTCTCCAAACAGTGTGTCGATGTCTGCAAACCCTTCTTGCATAGATGTATCCAGATCGCCCACCGGAGCTTGGAGGATGTCCATTGCGATTTCCGGCGCCGGAGATACAGGTGAGATTCCATGGCTGTTATTGCGCTGCCTCTTGGCTCGGGGGGAGTCATTGCCTTGGAGTGCGGAATTAATCATCCCTGACCGCTCTGATACGGAGCTGTGGGTGTTCATCCTTTTGCGCGATGACTCTGCCACATGTTGTGGACTCATAGGGTTTGTCCGAGAGGATTGTGGCTTGCCTTGAATCTGGTGCAGGGCTTTTTGGCCCAGCCGGGCCATCGCCTCGGCGGAATACCAGTATGGACTAAGGTTTTCTAGAACAGAGCGGCACGCCTCGAGACTAGCTTTCGCTCGGTCGAGGTGCGTGATAAGTTTGCTCGAGCGGAGTTGTCGGTATGAGACACCCATAGACAAGGTGACAGAGTATGGCACGATTGGAAGAGGTGGTAGGTCATCTGCACACTCCGATGCGACGATGGAGTGAATACGAACAGCTGCTAGTCCTTGTCTGATAGACGAGAGCCTGGTGTGATCGATGTTCTCGGTGGGTTTATATCGACAGGACAAAATAGCAACAGAATGATAATAGAGCTCCAAGAAGCCTGCTCGCGGTTAGTTCAAACTTCCCATGCCACAGCAAAGATCTCCATGATAGACATACCTAGAGTAGCAAAATCCAGATCATCTTGGGTATCTTCCCCCACAATATCCTCAAATGCAGGGAAGCCCTCTTCCCACCCGCTTGTGGTTTCCGCAGAGGGTCGGTAGAACGATATCACAGTCGCGAGCAGATCTGACACCGCAAGCCACACCTCAAAAGCCCCCCGTGACGTCCGAGCGCTGACATCAGGTTTCACGACCCCGATATCGCGATCAGCTAGAAGAACCGGCCGGCCACCGATACTTGCATGCATCTTGTCCAATGTCCATAGACACCAGAAGAGTCTAGTCAGGGAATCCACGGAGGTTTGATTCGGCCGGCCGAGATGCAATCCTACCGTCTGGGCCTGGTGGATGGCTTGACAGAGGTGTAGAGATGCTGCCTCAGCCCCTTCAAGGCCCTCACAGTGCAAGGACATCAGTGCAAGAATGCGGATCCGTGTCAACCGATCGGGTTCTAGCTCTGCATCCATAGCGACAACCAGTCCCCTGTAAATCTCAGAACAGAATTCGCGTGACGATAGGATTGGGCCGCCTGCCACAAGGCGTAAGTAGGGATTGGCAGCGCGGGTCTTTGCTGCGGCGAGGCATATGGCTTTTTCAAGAAACACCGAAGCCGAATCTTCTCCTTGGGCTTGGAAAAGTTCTTGGTCGACTATTGGCATAATGTGATTAACTTTGGAGAAGTAGATAGCGGACAAAGCCTGGCGCGTCGCGAGGGGTAGTTGTTCGCATGCCTGCATTCCCGCGGCAAACCGTTGATGAAGCAACGATGCAATGGCTTGGTTATCGATTGGCCTTTGCGCCGGGTGATTACCTGCATATTCTTCCGCTGTGGCTTGTCCTCTCTGATCGCTCTGAGGCTTAGCTTTCTGCGCAGCTGGGGAGCTGATCCAGAGCCCGATACGATCCCGGAGAGGGCTCCCAGTCGGCTCATTTAATCTTTCACGAATCAGGGATTCTGGATTGAGATCGCCAACGAATCGCTCGGTGACAGGGACCGATAATGAAGCTGGACCATTGGATGTTGTCCAGGCTTGGTCTATGTGCGCGGATGCAGGAAGCTGTTCGCGATCCGAGCTATCTCTGTGAATGGGCCTCTCAGGGTCGTCGTTCAATTGGGGCGGCAATCGTTTATTGTGATCATTGGAGGGCTCCCATTTGGGGATCAAATGTCGGCACCGTTTCTGTTGCGATGTTAGCTGGAGGATTGCTGGGTTCAATGTTCCTACCGTGTACGCACCTTTGATCGTTGGCATGCGGGACAAGCTCGCAAGGCTCGAGTGCGACTCCGCGACTGAGGGATATCCGGAAGCCAAGTGAGTTCCATCTAGGAAATCATTTACGTCACAGGCTTGTTATAGGGAAGATTCTCGGTGGAAGAAGAAGCGGAGATCGAGATAGGCTTATCGATAAGGAGATTCTAAGGTTGTAGTCAACTATGTAGCCCAGGAGGTACGCACATATGTAGTGAGCCTAATAATGTTTCATCGTGTATGCATTTTCGCTACAGACGCATTAATGGACTAAAATGACAATTACCTAGTGTACATGTGCAAATTGGTAAAGAATCGATATGAAATTCCATCCATGAATGCGCCCGACTTCTGAACGCTAAATATCCCCGGCTGAAACAATCTCGAAACAAAATATAGCCAACGCGGGACTCTTCTAAGCTAGGAAGCAGATAGGTACGCATGCAGTTGAAGAAGTCTAAACTGGGTTTGAAGATCTTTCAGCTGCTTCAGCCGCCACTAAGGCTTCAACGGCATCATCATCATCAAACTCGTCGATCTTGCTAGTCTGGACTTTCACATCCGCAGTCTTGGCAGATCGAGGCTCAACTGGCAGGTTGTTGGCCGAAGCGGCCGAATCTTCCTTGTCAGAAGCGCAAGGAGCCAAAGGCTTTTTGGATGGGACTAAGCTCCAGTCAATTATTCCGTCCTCTCCGTACCGCGAAGCAAGCCAATCATTACACTTCTTGAAGTGTCCATTTTTGAACTATATATCATCCTGTCAGCGAAAAGTTTCAAGTACAAGTCCCTAGAGGAAGGTCTACTCACAAAGCCATTATGCGCACTCAGAGGACTGGGATGCACAGATTGTAAGATGCAATGCTTCTCTTTGTTGATCTTTGCCACTCTATTTCCGGCAGGTCGGCCCCAAGCAAGGAAGACGACGCCGTTGGTTCGTACCCGAGCAACGAGATCGATAACCTTCTGTGTGAATTTCTCCCAACCTTTGTTGGAATGACTGTTGGCCTGGTGGGCACGAACAGTAAGGCAAGTGTTGAGCATCAGGACGCCACGCTCAGCCCAAGGTATGAGTAGTCCTCCCTTATCGGGCGGCGGCTCGAAGTCAGGATAGTCGATCTTGATACCCTTGTAGATATTGAGCAATGATGGTGGAGCTCGTACAGGTGCACGGACGGAGAAACATAGCCCATGAGCTTGGTTGTGATTGTGATACGGATCCTGGCCAATGATGACCACTTTGACGTTGTGCAGGGGTGTGTGTCTGGACCTATAGTCTGATCAGCACACGGATTTGGCCCAAATAGAGTGATCCAATTTACCATGAATAGACATCCTCCTCCGGTGGAAAGACCTTGATATTGGAATCTTTCTCCTTCTTCAGGAATCGCTTCAAGTTTAAGAACTCAGTGCTGACCACTTCCTCCTTCAAATGAGCGAGCCAGCTCTCATCCAAGGTATCGATTTCCAACTGCAATAGTTCCCTTTGTTCTGGCTTCAAGGAAGCAACCCATTTTGTCTTATTAAAGCTGCTTGGCCGTGGGGTCGGTGTTGAAGTTAGAGTCGATTGATTGCTCGGGGGTTTCTGCTTTGGAGCTCCAAAGAATGCAGTGATGCTTCCACCTTTGGGTTTTTTCGAGTCAGGGGCGGAGACATGCTCCGATTTTCGTTTTATGGCAGGGCTGGCCATGATGGATGGGCAGATATGAAGATTGAAGAAAGAAACCCCAGAACGTTGGAAGTTGTCGGGGGTTACCTCCGGGCTGATAAGAGATCGACGCGTTTCACGCGACGCGATTGATCTGCAAGGCTGAGCCTTGATGAAATCTAGGGGTAGAATTCATAGGTTACAAAATTTGTATAATTATAGAATAGGATAATTTAATGATGTACTGATTTACTCTATACCAGCCACTACAAGTCCGGACTTTGACACAACAATCTACGGGGAATAAATGGCATTGAATACAGTCCGAGTTCAGACAAAGAATACAACATATCAAGTTACACATTCAAAAAGCGAGTAAGCGCTTAAAGCTCATCGTGAGTATCCTTCTCCTCGGATGCGGGAGACTCAGTTGCCTTAGGGGCCGCAGTGACCTCGGCACGCTCCTCGGGCTTCTTGGCGCCATCGGCCAAGCCGTCCGCCTGATACTTGCCGTTCTCCTTGATAAAGGTGACCAGGTCCTCAACGGTACGGGAGCCGGCGTACTCAATAGGGGAGTCCTTAGCACCGGCGGGGTAAAGCTTGATAGTGGGGAAGCCAGTGATGGAATCGGGCACATCGTTGGCAGTGGCGTCAACCTTGGCGACAGTGACCTTCTCATTCAGCTCGGGGACATCGGCGAACAGCGCAGCAAGCTCCTCATACTTGGGAGCAAGACTGGTGATAATGAGTTAGAGATGCGACAAATGGCAGATGAGCTGTAGAAAACTTACGACTTGCAGTGTCCGCACCAGGGAGCGTAGAACTCGACCAGGACATCCTTCTCGTTATCAATGACAACCTCCTGGTAGTTGCGGCCAACAACAACGGTAACAGGCCCCTCCTGGGTCTCGGGGATGGGCTCGGACTTGAGGCTAGGTTCAACCTTGCCGTCAAGGACGTCCTTGATGAACTGGCCGATATCCTTGGCATCAACCTTCTTGGTCTGGTCGTAAGGGTACTTGGCGTTCTTGGTAGTGTCCTGGATAGCGAAAGCAGGGAACTTCTCGGGCTCAAGGTTGAGGTTGCCAGCGTGGGCGCCGAAGAGCTTAGCATCAAGGGTAACAATGTTGATAGCTCCACGGTGGGTCTCAGCGATGGGACGGAAGTCAGCAGCGAACTGCTCACGCTCCTCGGCAGTCTCGGCGAAGATGTAAGCCAGGGGAATACCGGCCTATTTGTTGTAGAAAGTCAGTTTCTTTTCTTGCTCAAATAAGGGACGAATGAAGCTGGACATACCGCCATATACTTGGAGTAAGTCTCGGGACCAAGCTCGCCAACAAGAGGAGTGCTAGCGGTCTTGACCCATTCGAGGATGGCCTCCTCATCCAGCTTTCCGTCGTACACGGCCTTCTTCTCATCGAAGTCCTTGTAAAGAACAATCGAGGGCTGCTTGGCACCCTCGGCCTTGGCGAGAGCAGCATCGCTGGAGGCAGCGAAGAGGAAGTTGTCACGCTGGGATTCAGCGAACGAAGTGAAGCTCTTGTTGGCGGCCTTGTCATCAGAAGCCACGTATCCGATAATCACAATCTTGTCCAAGGCCTTAAACTCCTCCAGGTTCTCCTCGTTCACGTTCGAGACGGCGGGCATGGACTGCTTGGTCATGTATGAGACGATCCTATCGAAGAGACGCGTTAATTTCAAAGCACAAGAACCAGGAACCCAGAATGACTTACGCGTCGGCCTTGCGGGCACCAGCGTAGGGCTTGTGTGAATCGGGCCCACGGAAGACCTTCAGAGTAGGGTAGCCATCAACTTCGTAGGTTCGGCACAGCTCTTCCTCCTCGGTGCAATCCACCTTGACCACAGGGATATCCTTGGCCTTCAGCTCTGTGGCAGCCTCTTCATACTTGGGGGCAAGGGCTTTGCAGTGACCACACCAAGGCGCGTAGAACTCAGCAAGCACCAAAGGGTGCTCCTTGACGAAGTCATCAAAGGTATCAGTTGTCAAGGTGACGACGTTGGCGTCAGCGTCGGCAACTTCAGGCTCAGCAGCATGAACGGCCGCAGTAGCTCCGAGGAGGCTAAGGACTAGAGGGGCGAAAGACCGCATAATTAATCTCGTAGACCAAACAAAAGCCCAAAATGCTCAAATCGAAAAGAAGAATGAAGTAGAGACAAGCTTAAAAGCAGAGAGGGAAGGTTTTATTTAATGGGGGGAAAGGACAGTTTGTTCACTAAAGGTGGAGCTCTGTGACTGGGCTATGCAGGGCTGCAAGGGCGGACCTTCGTTCAGGTACCTGGTACCTCCACTGCCGAGCTAATTTATGGGGAATTCAGGTACAAGGCACTTATCCCTATAATTATTAATCTGTACAGGTACAGGTCCAAATACAACATAGTCTATAATTGTAACGGACACATGCCCTTGATATTTGACGCATATATATGCATGTTGTTGACAAGTGGCCTCTATTTCCTAGCCCTATATCCCCTCAACATCACAGAATTTATGGGAATACCCTCATTTATTTCCCTCAATATATTTGCCTCTAGATAGTCTGAGATGAAAAGGACTAGGCTACCAATACTCTGTATATAGAGACTCAAAAGCAGAAAAGAAAACAAAAGAAAAGAAAACAAAAGAAAAGAAAACAAAAGAAAAGAAAACAAAAGAAAAGAAAACAAAAGCAAAAAGCAAATATCCTATTTGTCACATTACAGTCACATATGTTGATCTTCACTCTTCAATCGGATCCTCTGTGGTCTGATCAGATATGGTCCCATATTCAGATCTTTGCGATATGCCATCCAATTCAGCCCCCAACGCTACGGCATCTCGTTTCCCACGGTCAACATCCACCAAAAGCATAAGTGGTAGTGGCACAAAAATTAAAACCGCCAAAAACACAAACGCTGGTCGAATCTCACCGTAGCGATCCGTAATGGCGCCAACAATAGCTGGCCCAAAGATGCTAGACCCTTTGTCGGTGATTGCATAAAGCGCGTAAAAAGCCGCTTCGTAACCTGGGGGAATGAGTTGCCCGAAGAAGCTTCGACAGTATGATGATAGTCCACCCATGACAAGGCCGTAAACGGCCCCCAAAGGATACATTTCCCAAGGCTGATGGAGACCAAGCCCCACGCGTTGCACAGCCGGTATAAACCCAAGAAGACCATACAGCGGAATGAGCTCAAACAGGATAATGCACGCAATGATCGTCTGCGAGGCTCGTAGATTGAAGAAATTCGATATGTAGCTCCAAGAGAATGCACCGAATACTCCTGCAAGCATGACGATCACATTGATCAGTCCCAGGGCGGCAGGCTTCATGTTCAGTTGGGTTTTTGCAAACAGTACAGCAGTTCCACTGACAGTGGCAATTCCATCGCTGAGAAGGAACCAGGCAGCAAGGAAGATCACGATATCTT